TGAATGGAAAAAAAAAAAAAAAAAAAAAAAAAAAAAAGGAAAAGATGAATGAAATCTTACTCATGGAAGCTTCCATCAAAGCATACATACTAGGATTATTAACCTGATGAAGAACAAGTAGTAGCTTTATTTCATCTCCCTTTCTAAATCCACAGTTCCTCACCATCCATTCAATTGATCCCATCCCTCCGTTCCAACTCAACTTCCTGCTTCCATCTTGGACCACCATCACTTTCTCTCCTCTTTCCTCCTTCGCCATCCTCGTTTTTCAAAACTTTTCGTATTTTCTAAGAACGTTTCGAAAATAATTATCCAGACAGACACGAATTTTTCAGTCTTGGCTCGGTCACCGAACCGATTCAACTTCTAAGAATCTAAGAACAAGGCTTTGGACGAACCGATTTCGAACCCGAAAATGAAAGAGATTCGAAAGAGAAGATGAAGAAAAAGGGAGAGTTGATGGTTAAGTATAAGAGAGGCCTCCAACATCATTACCAATTTTCTCTTTGCAACTATATAGTTGAACCAATTAATTATTATCATTATTATAATAAATAGTTTATAATATATTAAGGGTGTAACCCAAAATTGAAAAATCTAAATATAAATGGGTTCGGTCGGGTTGAATTGATTTGGCGTTTTCATAAAATTTTTGTTTCGTTGAGTTTTCATAGGTTCAATAACGGTTTTGAAGTAATGTATATAATCTAATGTTTTGAGTCGACTTTTAATATGTCTTAACAAGTTGAGCTAAGCTTAACATTGACAATTAAATTGATAACTGCATCTCTTTTCATCGATAATGGGTGTCGAGACCTAAAGTTTAAAAACTAAACTATTATTTTCGTGGAAGTTTCGGAACCAAAAGTGAGACCTATCGTCCATCAATAATTGGCGTCGGGACAAGCGTAACGTCTACACGTAAGATAAAAATTCAAATAGGTAACTTTACATGTACATATAAATGAATTACTAGCATTTCACTATGTAAATCACATTAGAAGTTACCTAAGCTTGGTTTTTGTACTTTTCTCTTCAATAAGTCTTCATTGATGGCTGGCATCTCTCATGTCATCACCAATTGATGACCCCAAAGTTTCTTCTTTACAATTGTTTTTTATTTTGAAAGATTCTTGTTGTAAGAAAATTATTTGTTTTGTTTCATTGAACATGGCAGCTGATTTGGTCTCGGTGCACTTTTTCGTTTTCGTTTATATTTATATAAGGTAGGGAATACACAAGTGGAATCGATATTTTTTGAACCAATTGAAAATTTTAGGTTAGATGAGTTGGAGATTCGAATAGCTCGAATAAGATTCACAACCTAACCATCTGTTTCGAGTTAGGTTGGGTTGAATTTGGTTGTCACGTTGTTTGTTTCTTTTTATTAGTTTGAAAAAATCTATTTATTTATATGTCACGTTAATAACTAAAATCTCATGAATTTCAAATATCAAACATTCACAAGTTACTATGCAAACATCTGTTACGAACCTCAAATATTCTTAAAAATAAAAAGAAAAATAAAAAAATCTAACCGTTATGGTTTGGGTTGGATGGTGCGAGTTTTTCGGATTATATGAACACCATTAATATATTAAATTTTTTTCCTAAGTATATCTATATTAATATATTGTGATGATACAATTTATGTTGGTCCTCCTTATATTAATATAAGGTGGCAATCATATGTTACCATCATTTGAATCTTATTACTTGGCATCATATTGTTTCATAATTAAGTAAATTATGCTATTTTAGTATAAGGTATCAATCAATTTCTTTCAAACTACATTTCGTCTTGGTTACGTCCAACAACTTGTTCAATAACCTTTTGCATTAAAAAAATAAAAACATTTTTTTCTTTTATTATATATATATATTTCCAATATTACATGTTCTTTTTAAGTGAAACAATTATTTTCCAAATATTATATTCTCACATTGAAACCATAAAATTGCCCTTTAAAAAACAACGGCAAAAAATACCATTTTTTTTTAAAAACTATATTTCTTAAATATAAACTACTTTATTTATTTATTTTATTTTTAAATATCTTCTATACATGTCTCTGGTCGGGCCTTTGTAACATATTTTAATAGAAAAAATAATTATAAAAAAATAATGTTTTAATTATTTATTTGGAATTGGAATCTTACTGACTGACAGGCAATGGTTTTAGACGAGAGAATCAATGTGCCTGAAGGGTTGGAAAATAAAAATTAATTAAAGAATGAGAGAAAAAAAGTAAAAAAAATAAAATTCCGTTCACTATACATATATATGTATATATATATATTTTACCCTCTAGGATCTAATTCATACCTTCCAAAGGAATTAATTTGGAAGAAAAATAACATTTAAACTGATCAAATTGCTATAAGACTGGTTTAATTAATTGTTCTAATTTGAGTTAGATTTTACATTAATTAACAAATTTCTTGAGAATTTGAATAAAATAACACCTAAATTTGAATAGTGTAACATATTCTCGACAATAACGACAGTCTCGTTGATAAAACGTATCGTTTTGGTTAAACCTCCACCCTATGTTTTAAAATATTGGAAATTTTAATTTTTAAGGAAGAAAAAAAGGTGATAGCCTTCAATATTGAGGACAAGGAAACACTCATTGGGAATAGGGTAATGAATGATGTGAGAGAAAAAGTACTTACTTTCCGAGGGAAGAACCTGTCTTATGCTGAAAGCAGAGTAACAGCAATGAATAACAAGAGAGACAATCCTAAGCAGAATCCAACAATCGCCACAACTGCCTGGAGATGGGTTAATTTTGAGCATAACATCAATGAAATGAAACAAAAAAACACAATGGATGTATAGAAGTTTCGTTTCTAGTAACCTTCCCCTGAGACTTGAAGTTGTATTTGACCGTGAACCACGACAATGCTCTGTCGACGAACGGCGCCATAGCAAGAGCTCTGCATGAATGAGAAGCTTTGGTATAACAGGTTGCTTCCTCGTTTTAGGAATTGGAATGGGAGTGAGATTTAATATTGAATCATTTTGAATTCTGTTCTTGAAAATTAAACTTCAAAACTTCCATTTTTTAAAACACTGACCGGATTTTAATTTTAATATTTTTTTTTTTAACAAAATCAATCTTGAAAATAGATTTGAAAGAGCAAATGAGTTGTGAGATCCCACGTCGGTTGAGGAGTAGAACGAAACATTCTTTATAAGAGTGTGGAAACCTCACCCTTACAGATGCGTTTTAAAAACCTTGAAAAGAAGCCCGAAAGGGAAAGCCCAAAGAGGACAATTATGCTAGCGATGGGCTTGGGCTGTTACAAATGGTACCAGAGCCAGACACCGGGCGATGTGCCAGCGAGGAGGTTGAGCTCCTAAGGGGGGTGGATAAGAGGCGGTGTGCCAGCAAGGATGCTAGGCCTCGAAGGGGGTGGATTGGGGAGTCCCACATCAACTGGAGAAGGGAATGAATACCAACGAGGACGTTGGGCCCGAAGGGGGTGGATTGTGAGATCCCATATCAGTTAAAGAGGAGAACAAAACATTTTTTATGAGGGTGTGAAAACTTCTCCCTAGCAGACGCGTTTTAAAAACCTTAAAGGGAAGTCCGAAAGAAAATAACCAAAGAGAACAATATCTACTAGGAGTGGGTTTAGGTTGTTTTAAATATAGAAAACTGAAAACAAAAATGTTATCAAGTAGGCCTTTCTAAGTTATGGAAGTTGGAAAAAAAATGCAAGCATTTAACAAGTGAATGCCATTTGCACTAAACAAGTTGAAGCTTACAGTTCTCTTCATATAGTTGGGTTGTTTAATGATGAGCAGAATCACGTACCAGAATAGTAATAGATAAAAAGCAGGAATATAAGAGCTCACCCTGCCGCTCTTGCCAGCTTAGTAACTTGGCTTCCAGCCCAGACTGTAGCCATTATCTTGAGAAATCTACAAGGTAATAATGTGTCAATGTCTTAGTATAAAACTCCATCCTACACAAATATTTTTTTCGATATAAAACCAAGCTTTCATTGAGAAAAATGAAAGAAAACGACCAAAATGATAGCCCAACAAAAGGAGTAAAGCAACTAGCCATATAAAAAGGGCCTCCTACAATAAAGTTTTTCACCTTCCAGCAGCTGCAACATAGCCCATTTTCGCAGGTGGTGGTGCAATGTAGAACCTAAAATGCAAATAAACAATATGATAACATGACCGAGTACACTGCTAATGGAAGAGTGATGAAATAAACAGAAGACAAACAATAGTATGACATAGAGAGTGCTATTATTATTAATTTTAAATAATAATAACATAAAATAAATTATCGCCCACTGATCGGTGGTAAAGGTGTTTTTAATCAGAGTCCCACTAAATTGATCGGGTTGAGGGGGGTGGAAGCATCCAACTTCCAAGAATTGCTTTCAAACATCTTACTGTAGTTTCTTAATTCTTACCTATCTATATACAATTTCCAAGCCTAATCATCTGGTTCCTATCATTGCCATCCCCGAACATCCAATTCTAATCACCAACACGCATACCAAATAACCTCCTAAACTTATGAAGCCTTTAAGTCTCTCCTACGTAGTAGTAATTCATAATAGTAGTAACTAAGTAGTAAATATAGAAATGAACTCACCACACAACAAGAAATGTTGTAAGATAGTAGACTGTATTCAACAATCCATAAGACAATATTCCAGAAACTCCATATCTCCTCAATTTATCCAGCACCCTACAAGATGAACGTATACTAGAATAAATGAGCGAAAATGAAATCTAAAGTCTCCAAGACTGATGTATGCCTAATATGAAGTATGCACTGATGCGTCCAATAAGATAAAGTCGATAAGATATTTGTTTCATTTCAATAAGGCCAAGAAGAACTTTGTTTCCTTTCGATAAAGTCAAGCAGATTTTGTTTCATTTCGGTAAAGGCAAGAAGAGTTCTTCGTTTCCTTTCAATAGAGCCAAGAAGATCTTTGTAACATTTTGATAAAGCCAAGAAGATCTCTGTTTTATTTCATGTGGTTGCTAAATGGAAACTTTGTTTCCTTTTCATTTTATAACTTTATGTATTTTGTACCCAACATTTATGTACTGCAAAATTCTAGAATCGCAAAGCTGACTTGACCAATAAGTAATGATATTATAGAAAATAAATAAGAAATATTTCCTGTCTGAGGGCTCTGACTTACTCTTTGATATGACTTATTCTTAGGGGATCAAATATATTCTGAGACCCCCTTTTTTCTTAAATGTAAAATAATCTACCAATATAAACTAAAAATGACAATAACCAACAAAACAGTACAAATATTAGCGGAACATGAAGTAGACTATTTTTGTTGCTAAACTTTGTTGTACAAGTATGACTTTGATTAGAAACTAGAGAGTAGAGAGAGATTGAGCAGAAAAAGGAAGGTCTCACCACCTCCATGGCATTATTAACAGAAAAAAGCAGTAGCCTTAGAATTCACCAAATATATGCAAGGCAAGTAGTAGTACTCGATCGATTTTTGCGGATGTTTTTGATGATTTTCATTCTTTTCCATTGAACCTAACAAGAGAGAGAATGAAAGGGGCAAGAATTCGTAAGTTCTTAATCAAGAATGTGACATTTGAAAATCTAAAGTTCACTGAATGCATCAAGACTCAAGCATGAGTTCATAGGTTCGGTTTTTTATGCCATACCTTCAGTTTCATGATTGGAAAAGCCATTTTCCGATTTCAATGGATCATTGGCCTATGACAGGACATTGACAGTATCTAAATCAGTAATACATACGCTTGTCCAAATGCAGGAACATTCATGCCTAAAATTTCACTTACTGCCACATTCTATTCATATAAACAAATGAAGTCAATAGAAAGTAAATCAACAGTTAAACATACAAAAAATCTTCATAGAAATAATCTTCCAGCGATTTCATAGAAGTTTCAGTTCCAAAATATAAGAAATTATAACATAATTCAAACGAAAATAGTGATGGGGCCAAATGGAATGCATAGAACCAAGCAAACCATAGCATTCATTGCCAATTAGACAAAAGAGAGACAAGATGGTACTCAGAGGGTGCAAAATCAGGGCAATTAGAAGTTTGTAACATTATTATCTCTCCGCGGACCGAACAATTCAATTGGAAAGAGACATCAATAAGTAAAACAACACAGAAACCACCCCCAAAAATTAGGGCGTAGATTCTGAAGCAAGTGGACAAAACACCATAGAACGAAAGAATTAAACTGCAGAAAGTGAAGCAGATTGCTGTTTTGCCAATTCACTGAGAAACACTTACGCTAATTTCGGCATTGTTAAGGCATTGTCGGATGCTAGGGTTCCGACTAACAAAAATGTTAATCGGCTTTGAGACGCGAAATGGCGGGGAAGCAATGAAAATTGTCTTCGGCTGCAATTTATTCGAACCCTGAAGAATAACAATTCGTGAAGATGATAATAGAAATTAAAATGTTTACGCATTCAGATTCTAAAATGTCGCAGAAATTTCAAAATCGAGCGAAGCTTTTACCGCCACCGGGAAAACGACGCAAGGGATGGCGCCATTGGTGAGCTTAAGTGGAGTTGGCATTTGAGAGAGAGAGAGAGAGGATGATCTCGTCCCGTTTAGCAAATGATAAAAATGGAAACGAGGATTTCTTATCTCACTCAGAATCAGGCTTTTCAGTTAAATTGATATCTCATACAAAAGTTCAACCTCACCGCGAGTAGATATTGTTCATTTTAGTCCGTTACGTATCGTCGTCAGTCTCACGATTTTAAAACGCGTGTACAGGATAGAGGTATTCACACTCTTATAATAAATGTTTCGTTCCCATCTAAAACTGATATGGGACCTCACAATCTACCTCTTAGAAGCTAGCGTGGTCAGTTAAGGAAAGGTTCTTACATCCCTTATAAGAAATACTTCGTTTCTCTCTACAACTAATATGGGATCTCTCTGGTTACATTTGACGGTGCAATTTCATAAATATTTTAATATTTTATTAGAATAGAAATCCATTAGAACTTTGGATGAGTGTTGACAAATTTATCTCTCCTGTATTTTAAAATATTTATATTTTTAAAAGTATTTTTTAAATATTTAAGAAAAATGTTATAAAAGCAATTTAGCAAAATAATATTCCTAATAAACACACAAATAAAATTTTAGCTTCACCGTTACAAAATTAAAAGAAAAAGATTAAATCGTTAAGAGCTCAATTGAAGTTTTGAGATTAATTTGGATAATCGGCTGCCCTTTCCCCTAATTCGTGACATTTTTGTATCGTTCTTCCCGAAAACAATGGAGAATTTGCAATTTGTAGTTGTAACAGGTTACTTCAGGAATTCCAAGATCGAAAGTTGAATCTGCGCGTTAATTGAGGGAAAGTTTCAAGTTCATCCATGGAGAGGACGGAGCGTCAACGTCGAAATCATCCTCCGTATCGTTCGGCTGCACCATCTGATTTGGCCGGATCTTCGAGCTCCACTTCCCGCAGATCTTATTCCAACCGCAGTAGAAACGCCGACCACAAGCATTCTAAGTACAATACCAACAGTAATCTCAGCTTTGAGGATGATGCTGACTGGCGTAGCAGAAGAAGTAGCGATAGTAAAATCTATTTACAGAAGCTAGAGGCGAAAGAAGACGACGTTGGACATGATGGCCGTTCTCACTTCGATCTCCCGCCGGTATTAATCGGCACTTGTCCTTCCATGTGCCCTGGTAAGTTGAAACCGTCCACTTCTTCCAGCTTCTTAATCTCTGTTATTCTTTGTCTCTTTTCCTCTCTTTTCCCTTAAAATAGTGAGGAAATATGTTTTCGTCGTCCTCGTTGTGGCGAGAGTACTGGATTATATAAACGCTCTCAAATCCTTTTATGTTTTCTGTAAACATTTATCTGTTTTGGTTGCTCACAGCTTGTAAAAGGCAGGGGAAATGTGTAATTCTGTGCTATTTGACAAGCACAATAACTCATGCTTGTGGGCTGAGCTCGATTAATCCTCCAGACTGCTTAATTTTTGTTGGATTAGTATTTCGGTTTTGGGGTGACACTGTTACACGAATGTTAGCTTCTTCTTCTTCTAAATCATATGTTAGCTGCTTTATCAAGAGTTTTCATATTTGTAAACAGAGGCAGAAAGAGCACAGCGGGAAAGGCTGCGAGATTTGGCTATATTTGAAAGGCTGCACGGAAATCCTAGAAAAACATCTCCAGATCTGGCCGTCAAAAAGGTATTATCTACTGATAGTTGCTTTATGTTGCATCTTAATGCCTCTTTTTTGGTTTCTAATGCTAAACATCTCGGCCCCTTCTTTTATTTTTTCTTGGTTGGAGGAAGTGATTTGTAAACCATGTTCTTAAAGTTAAGATACAATTCTTACTGCCAATTACCAAAAAGAAAAGGGGGAGAAAGAAGAAGAAGCTATTGCATATGAATTTGGCAGTATATTGGAAGTATGCAACTGTCAATTAACTCATTTAGGGGCCTCCAACAATTTATTTAGTTTCCATTGTCGTTGAAAAAGTGTTCTATGATGATCCTTCATCTTTCTGGTGAACCTCTTTTTGCGATTCATAATTGTTGTTTCTCTTGTGAAATTTTCGGACTAATTTGCAATATTGAATTCGTTAATCGTGCATGGAAGTGAGTATCGCTACTTTGAACAAAATGATAGCTAGGCATTTGCAACTCCCAACGACTTGAATCCTCTATTGTCATTGGCTCGTTCTGCTCGAATATAGATTAATAATTTGTGATATCGTTGATCATGATGGATAGATTGGTTTTTTCTTTCACCACATTTCTTGGTAGGTATCATCTGCAGTAACATTTCACTTGTTTAGTTCTGCAGAACAATGTCCGCCAAGAGTGACCAAGCATTAGATGTGCGGCCTCTACCTGTACTGGAGAAAACATTGAAATATGTCCTAAGCTTTTTGGATACTAAAGAGCAACCTTTTGAAGTGATTCATGACTTTGTATTTGATAGAACAAGATCTATAAGGCAAGACCTCAGCGTACAGAATATTGTTAATGAGAAGGCCATCTACATGTATGAAGAAATGGTCGGTATCATCTTGTACTTGTTCTATTCTATGCATCACTCCCTTTCCTAGAAGTGAAGTATTTTGAAACTTGATTCTATGTAACTGTGTTTTAGGAAACTATATAACTGATCGTGGGGCGTGTGCTCGGTCCTTTGCAGTAGTTGTCTTACTGGAAATTGTTTATTTCCTTTTATGTTCTTAACTTAAATACCCCACCAATTAGTTTGGGCAGCACCTGGAATCTCGTGCTCTTGACTGCATTTGATATGCACAACTCTTTTCTATTATTCTGATATCAGATGTTCCTAATTCACCCTTACTTCGTTTTTTTCGACATTTTTAAAGAAACTAACGATGTAGTTCAGAAGTTACTGCCATATCCACTACCTTTATGAGGCAAATAACGAGCTTTTATGGAAAGATAGGGCCCTAAATGGGTTTTAGTTAGCCCATTTGCCTCACTTAGTTTTTGATGATGTTTAAGGAAAATAGACATTCAAAGATCTAAAAGTAAATGCAAAGCTTTTGTTGGTTTTTGTCTTCTTTCTTGTATGCCTTGTATATTTTTTTTATTTTGGTTGCTAGCAAATATGGATTGTGTCATTAGGCTGATCAATGAATTATTAGACATTCATCTTTCCAGATCACATTTCAATTACTGTTTAAAAATTCTGACCAATGATCTTTAGTGTATAAAATATTTTGGACACTGTACTGCAGGTTGAACTTAAAGACTAAAAACATGTAGAAATGCATTTTGAACCTCAAAGTATGTGAACTGTTTGGTTAATTTTGTTGGAGTAGATGAAAATGCACCCCTATTTTCATTGATCTTGAATCTTCTTCATTACAGGTTAGATTTCATGTCACATCACACCAGAAGCTTTTAAATGGTGATAGTAATTCAAATGCTTCCTCAATGCATCACCTCAACAAGCAGCAGCTCTCAAAGGCTTTGATCACACTACTTAATCTCTATGAAATTAACAGATCCAACGGTGCTATATTTGAAAATGAAGCCGAGTTCCATTCATTGTATGTGCTGCTTCATCTGGATTCTAATAGCCAAGCAACGGTCTGTTCTCTAGCTTACTGAGAGCCTTGATAATTTTTGAATCAATACAGTACAATCTACTGTTAGCTGTGTCCTATGAGTAACACATTGCTGTCTCTAATTTGTCAGGGGGTTACTTTGTGGTTTCGTACTTTACGGTCTCCTGCGATCAAGTCAAAGGAAATGCGTTTTGCTCGGACAATTTTACGGTATACTATTTTCTTCTGAAGATTTGTTTGTTTTTTGTGTTCCATTAATGCCTAATGATGTTTGGAGAGAAGTTTCCTTTTCTCATCTCACAATCTTCACTTTTCTTTTCTATCTGCCCCTGCCGTTCATTTGAACAGATATTTTCGGATGTGTAATTATAAGGGTTTCCTTTGTACCATAGGAGCTGAGGCTTCCAACCTTCAATATTGCATTCTTGAACCTTACGTTAATGAGGTAACCATAATCTTGAAACTCTCCCCTTCGATATTTTAATCTGAAAATTGTATACATGAAAGGATAAGTCAAAGGGATGAGAAGGAAGCCTTCAAGTTGGCCTTAATAAAAAGTTGTTTGATTTCCAAGTCACAATTTTGATGAATGTTAAGGCTGTCAGGTCTCGACAAGAACGAAGAATATAATGTTTATGAATGTTAGGGCTGCCAGGTCCCGACAAGGACACTTAATCATTTGGTTAGAAAAAAGGGAACTCGATCGTTTTTTTTTTTTTTTCCTAAGGCATTTATCGCTCACTATGCAGATTCGAGCATTAGCTTTGTCTTACATAAACAATGGTGGATACAAGCTTCATCCCTATCCTCTGGTGGATCTATCCATGCTTTTAATGATGGAGGTATAATAATTTATGACATAACTTATGATCTTCTCGATCGCTTATGTAAAGATCTCCAGTTGTTTATTGTAATTTTTCAAGCTTATGTCAGGAATCAGAAGTGGAATCATTTTGCAAGGCCTGTGGTCTTGTAACTTCTGGAGATGAACTAGGAAACATGTCACTTCCTACCAAACAAACAACATTTTCCTGTCCCAAAGGAGCGTTTCAAAGATACAGCTTTGTGAAGTTGAAATAACATCAAGGTGGCTATCTATACAACTCATTGTTTCATCATTTTTCTTTATAGATTCTTAGGGCTTAATTTCTGGTAGGACTATTCTATACTGTATTATACAGTTGTGTTCTGTGAAAGCTGTATTATCCCACAATTTATATTGTATTGTTGTCTTATAGGGATAAGAACTAACTATGTATCATTTGTATAATGCCATGATTTTATTTGGACGATTTTGAGTTTATTTAATTTGATGTATTGCTAATGTTGGACGATGGAAGTCCCACATCAGCTAATTTATGATCATGGATTTATAAGTGAGGAATACTAACTCTATTAGCATGAGGCATTTTGAGGAAACCCAAGCAAACCCATGAGAGTTTATGCTCAAAGTGGACAATATCATACCATTGTGGAGAGTCGTGTTCGTCTAACAATTAAAAGTTTGAGATTTTAATTAATACCACTCAAGTTTAGGGGTATAAATTGATTTTTGCTCAATTAAATAAGTTAAAATGCTTAGAATTTAAGTTATATTCACATTTGTAATATTTGGTTGCTTCTTTTGTAATATTTCATTGATTTTCTTACAAATTAATGAATATGTTGATCCGTCTCTTAGGTTGATATTGAATCGATAAACACGTGAAAAATAGCGCAAAAAATGTTGACATGCTTTTTTGTAATATTTCATCGATTTTCTTACAATTTAATGAATATGTTGATCCGTCTCTTAGGTTGATATTGAATCGATAAACAAGTGAAAAATAGCACAAAAAATGTTGACATGCTTGAAAGATAGAGAAATTTAATAGAGCTATCTACTTAAAATCTAATATTTATAATATTTTAAGGTCATATTATTCAAGATATAGAATAAATAATATGCATAATCGTCTCAAAGTCATTTATTAAAACTTCGTTTTAAAAATAAATAAAATAAATTCTAAATTCGACTACCTTTTTATTTCTCTTTTATTTTTCTTTTTAAAAAAGAATTATATTATAATTTTGTTTATTTTGAATGATTTTTTTTAAAGAAAAATAATTTTATATAAGTGATTTTGGGTTAGTTTCAATAAAATGAATTAAAACAAAATTGTAATTAAAAAAAAAAAAAAAAAAAAAACATTCAGGCATTTACAAAAAAATTGTTTATTTGAAAGTGCCTTTGGTGGTCTGAAAGATTGCCGTCCAAGTGAGAGAGGCAGCCGCGGCTTGGCCTGGTTGCCGCCTCAACCCATCCCCATTCCATCCCCAGCGAAAACTTGCTTCTTCACTTCCAAAATTTTTATCTGCGAATTTTTCTCTGAAATTAGGGTTTCAGTTTGTTAAATCCCTAATCATATCGTCTATGCTCGTGTTAATGATTCTGAAAATCACTTCCATGTTCCTTACGAAGTACCGCTGCAACTACCGCAAGTTGAATTTCTGTAATCGGAGCTGAGTTCGGGAGGGATTTTCTTCCGCTTTTCTGCATTTTTCTCTATCAATCGGGCCCGTCATTGAGCCTTCAGTATTTCATCGTTCTTCTGAGGCCTCTGCCATTTTTGGCGCCTTCAACTTTTGAGTGCCTTGGCTGCTTCATCTCGTCATCTCCGCATGGTTCAGGTATGATAGTGTTATGAACGCATATAGTGTATTTCAAATTCTGAGAGCAGCTTGAATGTTGTAATTTGCATTCTTTAGTCGAAGTTTCCGATTTCTGTGATGAATGTACTGGGGATGTTTTGCAATGAACAGATAAGAGAAATATGGTGATGAAAATTAAACATTGAGTCGACATAGTTGTGTCTGCTTTCAAACGGGATTAGGATTTCATGCCATCGCCATTCAATTTATATACCAGCTTTGAAATTTTGTTGGCTATGTTCTTCATAAAGAGCTTGTAATCAGAAGAATCATGATGAGTCTTATGATATATGGCTACTTTTCTTATTTAGCTCATTTGTTTCTAGTTTCTGATTCTTCATGAAGAGTGCATTTTCAATAATAAATTTCTGCTCCAAGCTCAACTTTGGAAGAAAAAGACCATGCAGATATTTTGCAACTGCCAATTCTGCGTTGTCTTCTTTCAACTATGCGGACGAGGACTGCTTTACTTCTGAACTTCCTGCTGCTACTAACTCTGATGTTGACTCTGAAGAACAAAATTATTTTGGCAATGACGTTCAAGTTTCGAAAGGCCTGAAAGCTGATGATGATGAAATGAAACTGATAAAATTGATACTTGGGAACCATGGGTTTAATCTTGGTTCGCATCCAAAACAATTGGAGATCGTAAGGATTTTGGATATTCTATTTGAGGAGAGTTCAGATGCACGACTTTGTCTTTACTACTTCAAATGGTCAGGATGTTTATCTGGATCTAATCGGTCGCTGGAGTCGATCTGTAGGATGATACATATTTTGGTTGCTGGGAATATGAATCATAGGGCAGTTGATTTAATGTCACATCTTGTTAAAAATTATGGTAGTAAAGAGGGCTTTTCAACTATATTGCTGAAACTTTTCTATGAAACACACCATGAAAGGAAGACTTTAGAAACCACATGTAGCATGCTGGTTGACTGTTACATCAAGGAAAGAATGGTAACGGCTGCTCTTATATTGATGGGTCAAATGAAGAGCTTCGACATATTTCCTTCTATATGGGTATACAAGTCGGTGATACAAGCTTTATTACAAACGAATCAGTCGGAGTCAGCCTGGGATCTTCTAGAAGAAATGCATAGGCAAGGTATAAGTTTAAATTATTCGATTAATCTATTTATTTATCATTATTGTGCAAAAGGTAATCTGAGCAGGGGGTGGAAAGTGCTTTTGGAGTTGAGGAAATTCGGATCGAAGCCTGATGCAGTTGATTACACAATTGTGATCAACTCACTATGCAAAATCTCTCTTTTAAAAGAAGCCACTGCCTTGTTGTTTAAAATGACTGCTTTTGGTGTTTCCCCTGATTCCGTTACGATGAGTTCTGTTATCGATGGTTATTGTAAACTAGGAAAGTTGGATATAGCTTGTAAAATATTGAAGTACTTTAGGCGTCCCTTAAATATTTTTATATACAATAGCTTTATAACGAAGTTATGTATGGAAGGAAACACGGTAAAAGCTTCTGAAGTTTTTCTTGAAATGTCTGAGGTGGGCTTAGTTCCTGACTGTGTTAGTTACACAACCATGATAGGAGGCTATTGTAAAGTGGGAAACATAAACAGAGCATTTTCTTACCTGGGGAAGATGTTAAAAAGTGGAATACGACCTTCTGTTATCACGTATACTTTGTTCATTGATTACTTTTGCAAGCGTAGAGATGTCGAAATGGCTGAAGTTATGCTCCAAAAGATGATTATTGAGGGTTTAAACCCCGATGTTGTCACGTATAATATTTTGATGGATGGATATGGAAAGAAGGGCTACTTGCACAAGGCTTTTGAACTTCTCGATACGATGAGATCTACAAATCTTACACCTGATGTTGTGACGTATAACACTCTCATTAATGGTCTCGTTACGCGAGGGTTTCTTCAAGAGGCAAAGGATATGTTAGATGAGCTCAACAGGAGGGGTTTCAATATAGATGTTGTCACATACACTAATATCATACATGGATATTCGAAAAGGGGAAACTTTGAGGAAGCTTTTCTTGTTTGGTTTCATATGACTGACAACTGTGTAAAGCCTGATGTTGTTACTTGCAGTGCTCTTCTTAGTGGGTATTGTCGAGAACGGCGTATAGACGAAGCAAATGCTCTATTTTGTAAAATGCTGGACATTGGGTTAAATCCAGACTTGATATTGTACAATACTCTAATCCATGGATTTTGCAGTGTTGGTAATGTGGATGAAGGTTGCAATTTGGTTAAGAAGATGATCGAAAACAGTATCCTTCCGAACAATGTTACTCATCGTGCACTTGTTCTCGGATTTCAGAAAAGGAAGGTTATCGATCCAATAGAGAGTGCCACTTCTAAGCTTCAAGAAATCTTGCTTGCATATGATCTGCAGATTGATGCCAATGGATATATCTAATGTTGGAGAAACAAGATGATCGCAGCATTTTGCATGTGGTAAGCTTCTCTTATACATATGCATTCTTTCTCCTATCCAATAAGTCATTAACTTAATCATAAGCACTAGCAGAATCTTCATTTCAGTTGAAGCCATACAGTTTCTAATTTATGTAGCTTTATGGTACTCATTTTCCAGGCCAGTCCCCTAAATCATATTATTCAAATATTTTGAATCAAGGGTTTCTCGAGCATATCGAGTGCTCTGGGTCCGAGTTTCTTGGGAAATTGGGGCGGAGAAGCAGCCCAAGGAGGCTGAATTCGGCTAGGTTTTCCGAGATTGAACCAGGTAATCTTGAAAAGAGTCTATGATACTACTTCAAGCTTACATGCTATAACTCATAAGTGAAATATGTAGTTTCAATGTGGCATGTTCCTTACCAGGTGTTGAAATTTTTTCTTATGGATGAGCTTAGAGTGCCAAGATGCAAGGAAGTCATGCCTACTCCATCTTTTGAATCGGAAATTCAGGTAAGCTTTCGACTCCGTTTATCTATAATTCCTATACAACTTTCGTTGTCTGATAACCATTTAGTTTTTTTATTTTTTGAGAAGTAAGCTTATAAACACTAATTCTACCTTCTTTTTTTTGTTTTGTTTGTTGTCTACTTTTTACGAGTGTTGTCAAAATTAAAGTCGTGTTTTGAAAACAAAAAGGATTAGTTTTTCTAAAACTTATTTTGTTTTTAGAATTTGGTTAATGATTAAGAAATTGTGAGAAAATAAGCACAATTTTTTTTGGGAATTTAGTTCACATTATTTTGCATAAACAAACAATGATTTAACGTGTTGGACACAGGCAATCCTACCGACGAGGGCAGACGAAAATGACCATTGTGCCCCTCTTACCATGTAAAGTCTAGATGCTGGTTCTGGGTTTGATTTGGTAATGTTTCTTTCAATCCACACACATTGCGTTTCTTATGTTTTGTTTTTGTAATTAAAGAAATGAAAGTGTTCACTTGACCACAGAATATAATGTATATACCTTCCTATGTTTGTTCTGTTCTCAGGAGGATCAGCATCTCAGCATTGGAGCAAATGCATTGAGGGTTTCAAAATAAAAGTTCATTCTATTTCTAACCATCATCGTGATGAGTTGACCTACTGATGAACGAGAGTTGTGCAAATAAATAATAAATGGCTTCGAGAGAATAGGTAATCGGATCATGGCCTTACCACTCGGTCCCGATGGGCAGCAGGTTAAGTTATTCCAACCCAAGTTTATGGTAGGTTGTCGAATTCTTACACCAAGAATAGTTCAAGGAGAGCTGTCGAGTTGCATAATCTTTATCATCTTATATGGTGGGATGATTTGCACAACTTACGTTTTTTTCTTTCTTTTTAGGTTGAAATCAGTATTTGGGCTAGTTTACGTGAGTTATCTCTTAAAACAATGACGTGACCTTCCAATATTGGAGCTTATGAAAGTTGTAGTGTATTCAATATCGTAATCGCTTCTTTCCTCTTGCAACTTTACTGCATCGAGTAGTATCAAAATATCAAAATCTTGAAAATGTCGTGTGCTCTTCACTATTTGAGTTAACTCGCTAATTTATTTGTTTAATCCTATGAAAGCAATTAGGAAAATTTAAGGATTATTGGTAACCATTTAATTTTTAAAATTATATTTGTTTTTTTGTAACTTATTTGCGAAGATTTGCATTTTTTTCTCGATAAATCTTTGAATTTTTATCTAAATTTTAAAAATAAATAGGTGAGAACAATTCTTATAAACTTAATTTTTAAAAAGCAAATGGTTGTGTAGTTATTTTGTATTTGATAGTTTTTTTAATTATCTTAAAAATGTTTTTTAACTCGTGGAATATAGTAATTTTAATAGGTAATAAGTCATTCAATTTTTTGCAATTTAATGTATTTTATAATTTTGTATTATCATTAATTACACTAACGGAAACGGACAGATATGGACTTTCTATTCTTTCTACAGGTCGCTCGTGTTTATATTTTATACATTTGGAGAGCTTTGTGCATATTTTGAGAATACCGGTGCTTGGGAACCCGACGCGAACCGGGAAGTGACTTTGTATGCAGAATTCTACAGAGTCCTAGGGATTCTCAATTCGCGTGAGCTTCTTAGGGCATTGATTTTCAGGTTTCATCTTCGTCTTTGTTTGTGAATTCGTTGAGTTCTTTCAATTTCGATTATATAGAAACAAGAAGCTCTAAATTTGAGTTGTATTAGAGGGAGATCGATCGAGAATCGCGATGACTCCTGTTTGTCCCTCCGTGAAATCTGCTCGTCCCGACGACGCTTCTTCACGGAAGCAACAAGGGGAATCTGTTTGTCCGTTTGCGAAATCTGGCTGTTCCGATGATGCTTCTTCAAGAAAGCAGCAATCGGAGGCTGCTTGCCCGTTTTCGAAATCCGCTCGTTCGGACGATGCTTCGTTGACGAAGAGTCCGGTTGAGGGGGAGAAAGGTGGGGCCGATGCTGCCAGTGCCGGTGGCAAGTGTCCATTCGGATATGATTCTCAAACTTTCAAGATTGGCCCTCTGAGCTGTATGATTTGTCAGGCACTTCTCTTCGAATGCAGCAGATGTGTCCCCTGTTCTCACATTTTTTGCAAGTAATTAATCAGCTTTGGTGTTTCTTATCTTCGTTTTGTTTTTCTTTTCGAGATTCCTTCGGTCAATTGTTTGATTGTTTCTTCTTGAATTGTACCAGAGCATGTATATCGCGTTTTAATGACTGTCCCCTGTGTGGAGCTGACATTGAGAAGATTGAAGCAGACGCGAATCTGCAAGCTACGGTTGATCGCTTCATTGAAGGTCATGCGAGAATCAAGAGACCCCAGGTGAACTCAGACAAAGAGAATGAGGAAGTTAGTGAAAGTAAAGTAGTAATTTATGAAGACTTATCCATGGAGAGAGGTGCTTTCTTGATCCAACAAGCCATGAGGGTAATATTTCTTGTTCATTTCTTCCTGTTTCGTTTTTTGCTTGTGATATAAATGTATGTTTGAATATCTCACTGCAATCAATTGGATGTTGCTTCTTTTATTTGAACGATCTAGTCAGTGAGTGGTGTGAGCTTCATTTTTATAGGGGTTGTCTGAAAATATTTGATTGAAGAGCGTAAGGATCATTTATCCAAATACCATTTACAGAAAATATTTTGAAAATAAGTAGCTTCATCTGTAAGAACACACAAAAAGAAAGCAAGAAAAAACAACTTTTTGGAAACAGTTATCCAAATACCATTTACAGAAAATAAACATCCCTTTAGTTTTTGTTTTTGAAAGTTTTACAATCTGGTTTTTTATCGCAGGCGTTTCGTGCCCAGAATATTGGAAGTGCCAAATCCAGGCTCACTGTCTGTGTTGAAGATATTCGAGATCAGTTAGAAAGAATGGGCAATTCATCAGAATTGTGCTCACAGCTTGGAGCGGTTCTCGGCACACTTGGCGATTGTTGGTATGTTGGTTCTCTTCTCTCTCTTACGACAGGGCATATAGTTTCTTAAAGTGCAGCTTTCCTTGAATAACCTCTTAGGTGGTGTGATTTTAAATGAGACGTATTTCTAAGAGTCTCCTACCTATTATTTTGTTAGCAATATAATTTAGTTTAGTTAGTTATCAATGAATCTTGGGGGGGTGCATGGGAGATTGAACGGTATATTGGTAGTTAAGCACACAACAAGCTGGCTTTACTCGGGATTTTTACATCGGATTGTATGCGTAGGTAACCATGGGCCCATGGCTAACTAAAACTTTTTTCAGGCAGTCAGATTCTGAAGTTATCATTCTAATGAACAACTAACACTTGTACTATTGTGAAATCCTGATGTGAATATTCCATTGAAATTAACCATATGGATATTATGTGGCCGCCAATTTTTAAGCTACTAAAACAATACTTATAAATCCTGATGTAAATTTCTGTTGTTTTATCCTGTTTTACAGTCGAGCAGCTGGAGATGCTAGTTCTGCAATCATTCACTTTGAAGAAAGTGTAGAATTTCTCTCAAAGCTGCCTGAAAAGACTCGCGAGGTTCTTTATTCGAAACTTTTGAGTCAACATTGTGAATTACTGCTTGCTTTTGAAATGCCTAGTAACCCTTGTTTCTCCCTTCAGATCATTCAGACACTTTCTGTATCACTGAACAAAATTGGTGATCTAAAGTATTATGAAGGAGACCTCCAAGCTGCAAGATCTTATTATCTCCGGTCTCTTAATGTTCGTCAAGATTGGAGCAAGCATCATCCAGATGATCCAGCTCAGGTTTGTGATTGTTAATTTCTAGAGATCACCTGGTTAAATAAACCTCTTTCCAAGAAAGAGTAGAAGAACTAAATCAATCATTCATCGTTATTAGCAAAATCCCAATACGTTTTCTCTTCGGATTAGAATTTTCCAGAAGGAACGGCTATTTTGGTGAACTCAATGTAGTCTAGGTAATTAGTTGGTTCAGTATTCTGCAAGTGCTTATGATTGACAATTTCTAGAATCCAAGAACTGGTGAGTTCTAGAAAGAGATGGCTGCAGGTTTGAGATGGGTATTTCAACGTTTATGAAAAATATGGGATAGGATGTCTAGTCTAGGTGACACCGTTCGTATCGTGCCTTACAAAGACTTCGGTTGTGGATTTTATTGATGCATTAACATACATTTTAAAAAAAAATACAGCACGAGTTTCTCATATTTCTGAAATGGACCTTATTGCTTGCTACAGATCCTAGATGTGGCTGTTTCACTTGCAAAAGTTGCAGATGTAGACAGCGGTCTAGGAAATGAAGATATGGCAGTTGATAGATTTCAGGAAGGCATAAAGTTGTTGGAATCATTAACACTGAATTCTGAGAACCCTGGTCTTGAACAGCGAGTAAGACTTTAGATTCTTTGCTTGCTTCTTACCCTTAATAGTGTTCATATCCATCAAATGCTTGATGGACTTTCATACTTTACTGGCAGCGTCAATCTGTTTTGAAGTTCCTTGAAGGTCAGTTTGCCGAGCGACAAAAGCCTAATCGATCCAGTTGCTAGAGATCATCGTTCCAATCTTAGTTAAGCAAATAAGCTCCTTTCAGCCGAGCAACAGGGAAGGTTGCGAGCACCCGTCTCGAATGCTCTTATCGTGTTTTCTTCAGGGTATAGTACAGAAGCATCCATAACCGATGTCGCTTTATTCACATAAGCATGAATCGACCTGGTAGTTGTGTGAAGCCGTGGCGTTTTAAATCTGTCTGCTGGTCAGGTCTCTTGTGTATAATGTTTCTCTTGCCCCCACGTAATTTCCTTCGGATTGAGCTGACCTCCGTTACGGTCGTTACCCCATGCACTTCTACAGTGAACTTTTTAGCTAAGGTGCATCTCTAAAACAAATTGGAAGTTAATTAGTTCAGGGTTTATATTGATTTCGCCCATTCTTTGTCATTCTATTCCCTTTTGTTGGTAGATGATTTTCTTAGGGAAGATGATTGGATTGTTGGGTATGCAATAAATATTGAAAATGGTGATGAGACGGCTTACTACATTGATTTATACAAGGGAAAATATGAGTAATTTGTAAGCTTCTTTACATAGCCTTTAATAAATAATATTTAAGAATTATTAAATAAAATAAAGTTAAAGTTATGAACTTTTAAAATTGTATTTATTTGGTGTACCAACTTTTAAGAGTATAAATTTAATTATGAGTTTTTGGCGTTTTATATTTTATTTGATCTTTAAACTTTTAAAAATACAGATTTGTAGTTATGAATTTTGAAATTTTATTAAGTTTAATAAATTTATTGAATACAAAATTTTAAAAAAATTACAATTTTATTAGACATAAATTTTAATACAAAAAAGTTAAATTACAAATTTATTGTATAAATTTTGAATTTTGTATTTAAATTTTAATTTACAAACAATCAAAGATTAATGATGATTGGAGCTGTACTGAAATTAATTTAAATAATTTATAAATTTTTAAGATCATGTCTTTCCAACATTAAAAGTGTTTTAACAAATATTTTAATTTTAAAGATTTTTTAAAGTGGAAGAATTAGAGTCTAGACATAATTTATTTGTTTTTTTAGTCAAAATATACAAACTATAAAAAAAAATGAAATAAATACAAAACTAGAATTTAAAATACTAAAATTATTTTAATTCATCTATCTTTGTTTGTTTAATAATTAAAGTCACGTACCTAATTTATATTTAAGTGGTAGGATATATTTATTTTTTTAAGCTTTTAAGTGGGGATAAATTAAGAAAGAGAGTCAAATGACGAAGAAAAAAGAAAGAAAAAGAAAAAGAAAAAGAAAAAGAAAAAAAGGAAAAATAATATATCTTATTATTTGTTCTTTTCTATTTTATCCACCAACTACTCCACTAAACTCAGCACGAGGGGATTTCTTGACTATAAAATGGAAAATGGAAAAGGGGAACAAAAATAATAAACAATAAAGAAAATGGAACACAAGGTGAGGTTCCTCGCCATTAAAGCAAAATTTTTCATGGTGCCGAGCTCCGAATTACAGAGGCTTTAGGTTTGAGTGGGCATCCTCTTCATTTCTCCGCCAGAAAAGCCATCTGGCGAGCGAGGATCTACGGCGGGCATGGACTGAATTGGTAGGGTTGTTTATCGAAATTTGTCCGCGGTTTTTTCTCATTCGACTAGCATAAGATCTGAATTAGCTCCCTAGGTTTTTTCAGGCACCTGCATCAAAATTCGGTCTGAATGATCGATTTTTCTCTGTTTCGTTGTTTGATTGTTGAATTGAAGGCCATTTTGGATTCCCTAGAATTTTGATTTACGTGCGCTTGTTGGTTGATCCGATCCTTCGCGTAATTGCATAGGTAATTGTAAGGTTTCATTATTTGAATGAATGGATTTTTAGTTCAGTTGGAATTCAGGAGAGTCGGATTGCCATATACAGCTCATTTGTTGTTCGTTTGAAAAGAAAAATTATTCCCTCCATCTTCCTTCTCGTACTCATCCTTGGTGTATAGAAGACATTGAGTGCGGGGCTTGGATGTGCGTGTTTCTCGCGGTGCTTGTTAGTTCATATATTCGGTCGGAATTGTGTAGATATGCAGCAGAGTGAGGGCCTCTCTAGCAATAGTTATGAAAATGATATTTCTTCGTCGTCCTTGAGGCTGACAACGCCTCAGAAGTCTATTAGGCGATTGGGGCTGTGCTCGCAAATAGCAACTGGCGGACAACACTCCTCGCCTATCGTCTTCCCTGAGAAGCGCAGCAAGGCCAAGTCTTCATCCAGGCGAGGGAGTGAGATTAATTCCTCTATCCCCAAGTTCACCATGACCTCCTGTGATGATCTCGACAAGCCTAAGAGCTTCGAACACAGGATTGACATAGGTGGAGGAGATGAAAAGTCGGATTTATTGGGCTATACGGTATTCTCGGGTAAGCTAGTTTTGGATAAGAGAAAGAATTCGGACAAGAATACTTCTGTTGACACTGGTGTAGCCAATCAAGAAGGTTTCGATGCTAAACTTACTAGCACAGCCTTGATATGGGGTTCTCACATGCTACTTCTGGAGGATGTCATTTCAGTAAGCTTTCTTTACATCTCACCAAAACACAAGGCCCAAGATTTTCTGTTAGACGTATTGATGAATTGATGATACTATGACAGGTCTCGTACAATGTTGATCTCAGGCATTTTACAATTCATTCATATCCACTGCAGAAAGGTCCACGTGGTCTTTCTTGTTTTGTGAAGGCCAGGAGAAAGCTAATAGATTATCGCTTTTTGGCTTCCAGCGTTGAAGAGGCAGTTCAGTGGGTTGGTGGTTTTGCAGATCAGCACTGCTATGTAAACTGTTTACCTCACCCCTTACTGTCATCAAAGAGGCAGGCATCTTCAGAATTAATTCCGGTTGATATACCTCCTGAATTACTTTTCAAATGCAAGAATCCACCAAAGATGCTTGTGATATTAAATCCACGCTCTGGACGGGGTCGGTCAACTAAAGTTTTTCACGGGATTGTTGAACCAATATTTAAGGTATGGTTTATCCATGCACTAAAGTTGAATATCAATCTTTCTGTTTCCATTCATCTAGATTTTCCCCTAAGCTAATATCCAACAAATAACCATAGCGTACAAGGCTTTTAATGACCTTTTGTATTAAGATTTACTGATTTAGTGTAAAGTCATGATGGAAGTTGACATTTCTACTCTTGATTGAAGTTGAAAATTTGGATCTTTTCTGTCCCTGGTGAATTGATTTGGTAATTTTACCATGGATTATAAAGATTGGCAATCTTCTGCTTATTATTTATTTACTTATTTTGCAAAACTTAACAGCTTGCAGGGTTCAGATTGGAGGTGGTTAAAACGACATCTGCAGGCCATGCTAGGAAGCTCGCATCTAGTGTTGACATAAGCAGTTGCCCTGACGGTATTTCTATTTGATGTGCTCTATTATGATAAACAGATGTTATTTCTTGTTTATGTATATATCTGATTATCTTTTCCCTCTTTAAATAATGAACCTACCCCTTCAATTTTCAGGAATTATTTGTGTGGGAGGTGATGGGGTTATTAATGAGGTTAGCCACATCTATTTTTATTTCTAATACTTCTCTATGGGTATTTGTTGGCGCTCTTTCGTGTAATTGTGTAGTTTTGAGTTGTCCCCTTTTGTTTCAGCCCTTGATTTTTGTGAGGCATCTTGTGTTTCTCTCTTTCATTTCTCTCATAAAAAGTTCGTTGCTATATATATATATTTTTTTTTTAAAAAAAAAAAACAATTGCTTTATTTTATGTTTTAAAAAAAGTAAGGGAAAAAAAAAAAAAAAAAAACTTGCAGCTGTATTTTATGATGCTAAATATATTTTTCCCCTCATGTTGTCATAGTTCTAGAAATAGTTTTTGGCTTTGTATTTTTTGTATTTATTAGGTTAAATTACAAGTTTAGTTATGCACTTTGAGATTTTTGTCTATTTGTTTCATGTATTTTGTATTTTCAAAAGTGTCTAGTAGGTTCCTAAGCTTTCAATTTTGTGTCTAATAAGTCTTTGAACTTTCAATGGTCCTTGAAAACTCAAATTTAAAAAAAAAAAATTAATTGAGCTATCAGATATAAATTTGAATTTTATGCCTTATAGAATTCTAAAATTTCCATTTTGTATCCGTAGATCTATAAATTTGTAATTATTTATAGTTCAGGACTAAATAGAGATAAATCTTCTCAAAATTCAGAGACTACATTTGTAATTTAACCTATTTCTTAAATGGTATACTAAGAAATATAAATCACATCAACCTTGGTGGCTATGCAGGTTTTGAATGGTCTATTAAGTAGAGACAACCAGAAGGAAGGAATTTCTATTCCAATTGGAATAATTCCTGCAGGTTCTGATAACTCGTTAGTTTGGACTGTTCTTGGAGTTAGAGATCCAATTTCCGCTGCAATGGCTATTGTGAAGGTGAAAATTTTTTTCTGGTCTACTTAGGACGTTTATAAAGTTAATACTGTGAACAATCTTTTATGTAAAAAAGAAGTTATACCATGAACAAAAAGATTTCTTGCACTTTTTTGTTGTATTCCTGGAGATAAATGAAAAAGCTTTCATGACTAGGAACCTGGTTACAATGCAGTATTTGTCTAGATTTGTTGTTTATAAGATTTCTATGCTTTTTGGAAGATTTACTCCTTGATATTTCCTTGTTGTATTTACTTTTCTAATTAAGGTCTGTTCTTGCAAAGGTGAATATCGGGGTTTTTGTGTTCAGTGTTCCAGGAAAAAAACGTAGATGAGAATATACTTATGTGGGAAGTAATATTATTCACCTCCTATATGAACGTATGTGTAATTCCCGTAACAAAAAGTCAATTGCATAATAATGTTACTGCTAGATATCTGCTTGTACATTCATGCTTGTGTGGAAGCACAGCTCATCACACCATGTCTGCATACTACCTAACTTTTTTTTTTTTAATAAACTCCACATTGGTAAATATTATATAGACATTGCTCTGACCATTCCTTACTACCTTCATTTTGATTGTTTCAAGATTAGTTTTATTAGCTATATTTCTCTCACTCATGCTGTGGTATTTTTTTAATTCATAGGGTGGTCTTACTGCAACCGATGTTTTTGCTGTTGAATGGATCAAATCAGGTGTTATCCATTTTGGGTTGACAGTCTCATATTATGGATTTGTCAGTGATGGTAAGTAATGATACAGGAGTTCATTTTATCTTTAAGATTATTGTTCTGAACCATTGTCGAATGCACTCAAGGGTGAGATGAATGAGGGCCTCTCTTTGTTAGTGTTCATGGAGGTTGTTCTTTCCCCTTATGCCTTTTGCATGATATCATTCGTTGTTCTCTTGTCAATTCACAGCTGTGGTGTAAATTCATTCCCACCCTCTCTCTCTGAGTTGATTAAGATTTCAAAAGTATTTTGTAAGAATGAAAGGTGAAATACTAAACAAAAAAACAACATAGATTAGATGTAACCTTTGTAAGCTTGATTTTGAAAAATAAAAAAATTAGAACAAAATAATGAGGCCTACTTTCTTTTTGCTATCAAGTCATCATTGTTGGAAATACCTTGTTCTTCTTCTTGGGGCAATCCTCTCCCTCGTGATTTTTGGCAGCCAGCGGTAGATAAGTTTGAATGAATTATTTGTTACTTGAGGCTTCAGAAATATTTCTCTACTATTGGTAGATAAGTTTGTGGTGAGTGTTAAGCTGCAGATGGCTTTTGAATAGGCTGGCCAGCCTTCACTTGGATATCTTACACCAACTTTTGTAGACGTCACGTTACTTTTCTTTTCCTTATAGGAAACTAACTTCCATTGACTACTTTGTCTTATTGATGAAATGAATTTTGTTTCCATCAAAAAAATGATGTGAATTTGGCCATTTGTTACAGTGTTGGAACTTTCTGAAAGGTATCAGAAGCGATTTGGTCCTCTACGTTACTTTGTTGCGGGAATCCTCAAATTCTTATGCTTACCGAAGTATAGTTTTGAAGTGGAATACCTTCCTGCATCATTAGAGGATGATGGAAAATTCTCTGCTGAGCGTGAAGTCGTAGACATGTCAGATTTATACACAGATATAATGAGGAGATCAATCAAAGAGGGCATCCCCAGGGCCTCTAGTTTATCAAGCATTGATTCAATAATGACTCCTAGTCGAATGTCTGGTGGAGACTTGGATACAACCTGTAGTAGCACTCGTGCTAGCACTGAACCATCCGAGTATGTGCGTGGTCTTGATCCTAAATCCAAGCGCCTTTCATCAGGAAGGAGCAATGTAACAGCAGAGCCTGAAGTTATTCATCCACAGCCACCCTTTTCAGCTACTCCCAACTGGCCAAGAACCAGGTCAAAGTCCAGAACAGACAAGGGATGGACTGGTTTGATAACCACACAAGATACCACTAGATGTTCTTGGGGCAGTGCAAATAATGACAGAGAGGATATATCTTCAACACTGTCTGATCCGGGTCCGATTTGGGATGCAGAACCAAAGTGGGATACTGAGTCTAATTGGGTCGTCGAACATCCAATTGAATTGCCAGGTCCAACAAATGATGCAGAAGAAGGTCCAACAGAGCAAGCTGTGCGTGTGGTTGAAGATAAATGGATCACTAAGAAGGGGAAATTTCTTGGAATCATAGTTTGCAACCATGCTTGTAGAACTGTTCAGAGTTCTCAAGTAGTGGCCCCAAGGTCTGAGCATGATGACAATACTCTTGACTTGCTTTTGGTTCATGGGAGTGGACGACTTAGGCTGTTGCGATTTTTTTTGCTGCTTCAGATCGGTCGACATCTTTCACTGCCATTCGTTGAATACGTCAAGGTATGTTACTCTACATTCCCATTTAGCCTTGCATTTCCAGGCTGCAATTAGGATTCTGTAAAAGGGTGAAAGTTATTGTAAAGTTGCAAGCGACATGAGCTAAAACATTGTTTGTTCACAATACAGGTGAAATCGGTGAAGATTAAACCTGGTAAGCATTCACGCAGTGGGTGCGGCATTGATGGTGAGCTTTTACCCCTCACTGGCCAAGTCGTTTCGTCTTTGCTTCCAGAACAATGCAGACTTATTGGTCGATTTCCCGGCCATCACGTATAACCAAGTAATCCTCTTATCTGAAATATTTTGATATGCCACTGACTGATCATAGAGTTCCCGTTAACTGAGTTGTTTTTCGTCATGTGGTTGTGTAACATGCAGCTCAATCCTTTATAGCATAATAGAGAATCTTTGTGCATTATTTCCTACCCATTCCCATCTCACAGTTCTGTTCTTCCTTCGAACAAATTGAGGTCTCTGTAAATCTTTTGTTCAGAAAACACGTCGGGTCGCCTTTTCCCTGCAGTTCTATCCCCTCTTGAATTCCCCTGTTGTGTATTTTTTACCCCCATCATGTCTGTTCATTGTACAAGCGTGACAAGCTTCACACTCAGCTCCCCGATCCACTCGATTTAGTTCTATTTACATTCTTCACAAGTTTTCTGGAGATACTTATATTGTATATACGTGATTGTGAACTTTTTTGGTCTGCCCTTCTCTCCTACTTTCCAGCCCTACCCCTTCGATGTTCTAGTTATGTCTATATCAATCCTAGTGAGTTCCTAATTAGTTATTAGCGATTAAAATGTCGAGTAGCGTGTCGATGAACTAGTTTGAAATATAGTTGACATATTTCTTGGTAGATCTGTATGGTTAAATATCATTTGTTCAGCTGGTTTCTGGTTGATTAATATTATGTGGACTTGAAAGGCTTTGATCAAGAGTTTGAATATTTCACTTCAGCTTGAATCTGTTCCTAATAACATTAATGGCAGAATCATAGAATCATTGACATTAAGCATCCATTGATCTGAATTATGACGACTCATATATATTTACTAAATTAAAATTTCTAAACTTATTTTAAAATTAATTGGTGATTAGATGTTAATGTGATTTTTATGTCTACAAACTTTTAATTTAATTTAAAGATTAAATAAATATAAATTAATTTTTATAATTCATGGATTAAATTTATAGTTCATATTTTTTTAATGGTTTAATATATATATATTTTTTTTAAGGAAGGGAAATTGTAGATGGCTATATTTTTAGTTTTAAATATCCTAAATATAGCCAATTAAATCTTTTAGAAACATATTATTATTATTATTGATTTAAAAAAAAAAAAGAAAAAGTGCTCTTAGAAAATGCTTGATATAACTGGATTAGAATTTAGATATACACAAAAATGTGAGGGTAATGGTTTATTGAAAATCCTAATTTCGGACGACTTGTCGTAACGTTGAAATGGAGTACGACAGCGCGGTAATCACACGTTCACATAAGCGCGAGATAAGGATGGACACGTGGCGCGTTTATATTCTCTTGTTCCAGATAAGAAGGAAAAAATAAAATAAAAAATTATAATTTCTATTTTCTTTTTCCTTGAAAAATAAAAAGAAAAAAGAAAAGAAAAAATAGGAACAAAATCAAATTGGCTCTTCAGGAATTGAAAAATATCGTAAGGGCTGTGCGGACAGTGCCATTAAATTAATACAATAAAATGAAAGGAAGAGGAAATTTCTGTTCATATTAAATTTTAAAATTCTCAATAATATATTAACTCCTTCCTTCTTCCGCGAAAGTCTCCACCGGCGACACAGAGATGATCACTATGGCGAACAGTATCGGCGTGATACCAACGCCGGCGCCCACGGCCGCTCGTCCTGCCTGTTCTATGACGGTATTCTCTAGTACTGATTTCAAATCGTCCTATTCCCCGTCCGTGAGTTCTCTATCGTCAGTTGTTGTTAATCCTTTCAACTGCTCGATTACAAGAGGGAGAAGATTCTTCAGCGAAGTTACTGTCAAATCAGATTCCGGTACTTTGTCTTCAGCTGCTGCTGTTTCGGCGGCGACGACGTCATTGTCGGAGGATGAGACGGATGAAGCGGCTGCCGCTAGAATTGGAGCCAGAGTTAGGGTTAAGGTGCCTTTGAAGGTGTATCATGTTGCTAAGTTACCGGAGGCGGATCTTGAGGGGATGGAAGGAGTGCTGAAGGATTATGTACGTGTTTGGAAGGGGAAGCGTGTATCTGCTAATCTTCCGTATAAGGTGGAGTTTGTTGTTCCAGTCGAAGGCCGTCCACCGGTCAAATTCGTAGCTCATCTTAAGGAGGAAGAATTTGAATACGTTTAATCAGGCTTGTTATTCCTAATCTTCTTTATTCTAATGAATCACTAGGCCAAGGCAATTATTGTTTTTTGGATCTCAATATTAATACAAAGCTCCCTTGTGCAGTATTATTACCAACCTTTTAAGGTTTGATCTTCTTCTATTGTTCATCTACACCATTTACTCTTTAACTTTGTAATCTAGAAAATTGCTCGAGTGTTCTTCTTTTGAGCTAATTAAATCTCTCGATTATCGATGTGGCTCTGTAAAATAATTGAACCAAGACAGGAAGTAAATGTAGTCACGAATCAAATGGATTCAAAATTGGTTACTCTTGTATGGCTGTTGTGTTTTATCTTATACTGGGAGGGAGGATGGGGATTTGAGGTGGTTGGTATCGAGCAATGCCCGTGAGCTTGCCTTCCATTGTGAAGATAAATGCTTGCTTCTTGTGACTTGCCACAGTTTATATTTGCTTTGTGTGAGAAATTTCTGTTTGTTCAAAATATCTAACATTCTTTAATCATGTTTGTACGAAATAATCCTCCATTTGTAAAGAATTACTGATGAGGTGAAGAATTATTGGGAGAAAATATGAAGCCTGGTTCGAGATGATTATTGAGGAGTATGGACTTGAGGTATGTAGTACCCATTTGATGGATCATACTTGGTTATTTCTTAATATGATCTTTTGATAATTGTTATAGCCACTTCTTGCGTGTTCTGGTTTTGGTGGTTGGTTGATTAGGTATGTCTAAGTTGGGTTGGTCCAAATTGTACTGATTTTATGAAGAGTTTCTCACAAAGCCAATTGAATTGTATGGAAGAATAGCCTCATCTTTACATCATACGTACATTTAATAGTAAGAATTCAATTGGTTCTAATCAACGTGGGTTTCTTTTGCTATATGGTGAGGATCTGGTGGATTTGGCTTCAGATCGTCTACATGTCTGAAAGCCACATGAGATCCATACAGCATATTCTTGATTTACTTTGATGTAGGATATTAAAATAGTCCATTACATCCTCAATTAAGGGCAATATATTGAACACCAAATCTTGTACTGTTCTTGAGTTTCTGAAGAAGCTTGCTAAGTTCTAGATTTAGAGGTCAATACATTGAACTTCTTCTAAAACCATGTGTTTAACCACCTGTTATTCATGAAGATGATCCGAAGTAAAAATATGTTAAGGGCGAAGATGGAGGGATGGAAACCTAATATGAAATAGAAGGTTATTTGTCCTTTGAAGTTTGTAACCTTTCGCTTGTTGCTAGTTTGAAGTTCTTCATGATGACCTATGTCCTAGCTCAAAAGTTTATTTGTTGTGTGAGATCCCACGTCGGTTGGAGAGGGGAACTAAACATTCCTTATGAGGGTGCGGAAACCTCTCCCTAGTGGACGCGTTTTAAAACCTTGAGGGGAAGCTCGGAAGAAAAAGCCCAAAGAATGGACGCGTGAAGCTCGGAAGGAAAAGTCCAAAGAGGACAATATCTGTTTGCGGTGGGCTTGGGTTTGGGCTGTTACATGTTGAGACTGTACAAGAATCAATTAATTGTTAATTGTTTGTTCAGACGGTGCAAGAATCAATTAATTGTTTGTTCATTGAAAGCTCCAATTGTATATTTTCCTAGTGAAATCTGTGCAAAACATTATATATTTTTGCATGCTTTGAATGCATCACATTTGAAAAGTGATCGTTAAATCTCTACGAGCAAGCAGGGTACATCATCTAATAAATTTTCGTGAAATTCAATGAAAAATTTCATCTTTGTTGCGTGAAGTATCAATGGTTAAATTCTAGTGCAGCCTTTGGTCACGACCTTACTTGAACAGGTTCTGTTATGTAGTTTGTATGTCTGTCTTTGAGTTCTAAAGAGTAGCATTTGGTCTGTGACTGCATTTATAAATGCTATCTGAGTATTCATTTTATTAAAAGAACTGACTACAGATAAGCATGGAACTGATGACAGAGTAAATATGAAGAACCACAGACAGAACTGGTGAACTCTCTCTCTCTCTCTCTCTCTCTCTCTCTCACTTCATTACATGACTTCTTGTTGAAATTCTCATTTATATTTCGTTTTTCAAGTAATTGAATCTGAAACTGGAAAAGCACAAGGTAGGCATGGGCTAGAAGTGCTTTCTGAATAATGTAATATAACATCGAGCTTAGTCGATGCTATATGAATGCCTGCATTGTTGAATTCAGACAATGACGAACATCGAACACTTGAAAGGAATATTTGTTTTCTTCTAGGCCCCTCGGGCGACCGATAAACTTAGCACGAGCCACACTCAACTTCATTAATCAACTAAATCATGAGGATATAGCAATGAAGTCAAGTCATTATTGCATTAATCTATAGGAGTAGGAGCATATGTTCATTGTCCTCTTTGGTTATTACTATGATTTGTTTTGTTGATTTTGGCAAGTTTAAAGAGAAGGTATACTGGCTGCCATGTTTAACCACTTCATCTGACATGGGTTAGATGGAGTTGGGTGTTTGAAATCATTTAGATTGTTGGATTAGTTTCATCCAACTGTTGTGAGTGAGTTTGGTGAAGTTCTTGCGTGCTTGCTTGCTTGCTTGCTTCAATTTCAATTCATTTCCCCAACTGAAGGCCTTGAGCTTCCACCTCCTAAAGTCTTGATCTAGAAGATTATCTAAGCGAAGGGCACAGGTTGGGTTAACTTTCCTTATTAAATGAATGGTTTTGGTGATGAGTTTTCATGCCTGGAAATGGCATCGGAAGCTACTTTATAGAATGTTTTAGGCTTATTATGAATTTTAGATGATTTTTGTGAAAAAATGTACTTGGGCTTTGGAACCTACTTTGTAGCATGTTTTGGACTCATGAAAGGTGCTTTCTGAATTTGTTTGTTTGTTTGTTTTTTTTTTTTTTTTAATTATCTAATTCTATACAAAGTATGGTGACTTTGTAAAAAATACATGATGTTACATTATTGTTAAACATTAAAACAGATTAAAAAAATTAAGGTCTTTTTTTTTTTAATAACTATTTATGCTTTTGGTTTTATGTTTAGAAAACATAAATTTGAACGCATTTAATATCTATTTTTATTTCAAGTTTTTTAAAAAGTTAGAGATGTAAAGGAAAATATTATGGAAAAAAAAAAGTCAAATAGATGTGAAGGTAAAGCAATAAAAGTTTAGAGAGAAATATAATTTTTTTTAAAAAGAGAATAACTTTAGAGACGTAGAAAAAGTTTAGAGAATAAATGCTTAATAAAGGAGAAATAAATAAATATGTTAGATAAATAATAATTAATTAAGTGGAGAACGAGAGAAATATGAGAGAAATCAATTTTAGAAAAAAAAAAAAAGTCAAAAAGCAAATAATAAACTTTTATTATAATTTATACCAATCTGACTTATCTTTATAATCTTTTCTTTGTTTTATCTGTAATTTTAGTCATTCTCCTAATAAATCGATATATTTTATTTTATAATCTAATAAAAAAATCGTACTAGATGTTTAAATTATGATGTTCGATTTATTTTCGTTGAAATAAATAAATCCAATGGTTATAATTTGCATGAATTTAGTTTATGTCCATACATAAAGTTGTTGGATAAGGAACTATGGGAATGTTATTGAATTATTTAATTCAAACAAAAAGACAATTAGTCTTTTAAATAATCATGTGGGTTGTAATAATAAAGCAAACTTTATTATTGTTGTTATTATTATTATTGTTATTTAAATAAACATCAAAATAAAGGAAAGTAAATAATAGGAAGCCAAAATCTCTGTGGATACCTTGTGTGAAATCAAAGCATAAATAATAATAATAATAATAAATAAATAAATAATATGTATGGCTCTCATTATTTATGTCTCCTTTAATGTTGGATAAAAACAGCATTTATTATAATATTTGAAACTATTTACATTAATAGTTTGGCATTTTATTATTATTTTTAAATAATTTAAACATAAATTAATTAAGATTGGTATAATTATTTCAAATGTCGATGATTTATTTTGTTTAAACAAAATCCCTCGATTATTTTCTGAAAAATAAAAATAAAAATATGGGAATTAAATTGAAAATTAAAAAAGATAAATAAAAATCTGAAAATAGATTGAGTTCATTGAATGGTGGTGTTTTGGAAGCTTATCCCACCTTCCTCACCCCATCAATTCATGGTTCAATTATTTGTATTTTTGTGCTATTGATTCTTTAAAAATGTATAATAAATAATAACCAAAAATAAAAATAAAAACCTCAATATTAGTTTGCAAAGTGGTTGTAACGTTCCCACTAATAATTATTAGAGGTTTCAATCACCGACATTATATTTATATTTATTCGTTTATTGCATTTTTAATATCATTAGGACAATTTATTTATATTTATATATTTATTTATTGCCTTTTTAATATCATTAGTAAAATTAATTTTAAATGCTAATTATCAAATTAAAAAATCGAAAGTTTAGTAAACTATAGCTTCTCCTTCTTTTTCACAATTTTTTAAATCAATAAAGCAAAAATAATTTAATTCCTTTATTAAAAAATAATTTAAAAAAAAATTATATTTTTACCACCAAACTTAGCAATAAAACGTCGGTTTTAAGTTTTAAAATTAAGTATAGTACAAAATCAAGTGTAATTAATGCACAAGATCCACAAATAAATAAATTGTTCAAAACTTGCAAAATTTCAACCAAAATTCAGCTGAGATTCATTAATTTCCAAATAATAATAATGATAACAAAAATAAATAATAAATAACCCAAATGGGCCGATCTGATCCAACTTGGCCCATTAGACTGGCCCATGAATCCCCGCACGGGATAGTTCGTGACACGTCGCTTTCACACGGACCAAAACCACAAAAATAATTTAAGAAAAAATATATATAATTTTAAAATTTTCCTTTTGTTATTTATTTGAATAAAAACGATGTAAATATTATTTATTTATTAGTTGGCGGAGGGAGAGGGAACACAAAACGTGAAAGCTCTCTTCTCTGATCAAATCCATTTGTTTTTTTTTTATTTTTTTATTTTGAAATTGAGTTTAGGCCTTCTGTCCTTCTCTGTCCCTCTCTGTAAGAGCTTTTGCTTCGGCGGGATATGGTTATGGCGGTGCTGCTGTAGGTGGAAGAAAGCGAAGTGATTATTGACGCCG